AGATGATGATTTATATTGTATTTAGCAGAATGTTCACTCTTGCTTCCATTCAATGAAAGTGAAGCTCTCAAAAGGACACAAAAGCACCATGAAAGTGGTCTATATGACTATATGATATATTCCAAGTCGTCTAAAGCAGAATGATGCTTTTATGTGAGGATTTGGACTGAAATTGAAGTGCACTGTTTTTATGGACTACTTTTATGGTGCTTATTTGTCCTTTTTAGAGCATGACTGCCCATTGACTGTCTCTATATGATTATATTATATGTAGAAACAGTTTAAAATTCTCAAAAACATCTGACAGGACTTCTATCATGTATTATAATCTACATGAAAGACTTTATATGATTAGATACTATCTCATCCCAGGCTTTCTTTCTCTTTCAGGCATTATCTAGTACGTGGCCCTGAGAAAACTCCATATGAAGGTGATTTCCCCCTTTAATTTCACATGAGTGCTTCCTTTTATCAAATTGTGCAGTTTCTGCTTCATTTTGACTTGTCTTTTGTATTTCATAGGTGGCTACTATCATGGCAAACTCATTTTCCCACGGGAATTCCCGTTCAAACCACCAAGCATATACATGATCACACCCAACGGCAGATTTAAATGTAATACAAGGTACACAGCCTCAGACTTCCATTTTCTTTTTAAGACCTTTATTTAAGCACTAAGGTATGTAAGCATGGTTATTTTGAGCATAGTTACAGCTAAAGGTCGTTGTTAGGCAAGGCACAGCCAGCAGTGAAATGTTTACTATATAATAAAATTCTTTCATTAAAACATTCTTTTATGAAGCACACTCATTAAGTGCCATGTCCATCCATCTGCTGCTACGCTGCTGTTTGGGAACGCAGTCGTTTAACAGTTCTGGAAGGCAATTATACAGAAATACTGTGACGAGACGACAGACTTTGCTCGGGCATTTCCGAATGACCATAACAACATTTCAGATGCTGTGAATGAGATCGGTCCGCTGGTTAGTCAGGTTTTGCTGTCCCATAGCGCAAAGTAGCATGACTTTTTTGATGCACTTGGAGGAATTTATTCGCAAAATGCATTTCAATCTCCCATTAATTATTCGCATTAACCCTTTTTCGCTCAAGTCAAAAATCACCTCAAGCGAGCGTAAAAACTTTTTTGCGAATTAAGGCATTTTTATTCGAAATTCAGCGTTTCCATCACTCGATTCTGATGCGATACTTCAAAATGCGCATAAAAGCAGGGTGATGGAAACCCAGCTACTGATTAGCTTGCTTTAGGGTTAGAGCTAAACTCTGCAGGAAAGTGGATCTCGTGGGCCAGATTTGAGGATCCCTGATGTAAACTAAGATTGGCCTCTGTGGGTCCTGCACACGTTTTACTTCATAGTTTCTTCATACTGTATTGTGAGTTTTTGCTTGGTCGGTACTCTGAATTGATGAATCAGCATCTACATCCGTTTCTTTAAAAGTCTCAAACGTTCAAGTCAGAAGAACAATACCATTCATAATACAATGCATAATGACTTGCTTTCTCTTTCTCTTTCAGGTTGTGTCTTTCTATCACAGATTTTCACCCTGACACATGGAACCCTGCATGGTCCGTATCCACCATCTTAACCGGCCTCCTGAGCTTCATGGTTGAAAAAGGCCCGACTCTCGGCAGTATCGAAACCTCTGACTTCACAGTGAGTGTCACGTTGATTTAAAATCACAGTCAAATGCTTTAAGCATTTCACTGCTTTTGAGGGGGGTGTAATTGGTTTTTCTTACCATATAAAAACCCTCAAAGCTTTTTATATGAAATACTCTATAAATGCTCTAAATACTCTGACTAAATCAAAATAAAATGCTAATAAGTGTCTATAAATTATGCACAAGATATGAAGCTGTTTTAGTATACATTTGCATTAATTGGGTGTATTGTTCACAGATTTTCTGAGCTTTTTTTGTTATTGTAAAGCCGTACTAAAACTAGTAAGAACACTGCTGTTTAAACTGTTGTTTTTTTAAATAAGTGCTGTTCTTGTACCAGGGGAAAATGTATTCCATAAAAATATAAAGCAGATAAAAGAACTTAAATCAGCATATTAGAATCTGAAGGATCATGTGACATTAAAAACTGGAGTAAGGATGCTGAAAATTCAACTTTGCATCACAGGAATAAATTACATAAACATACATATGAAATATATTGTACTAGAAAACAGAAATTGTAATAATGTTTCACAATATTACTGTTTTAATGAGTTTTTTGACCATGTAAATGCAGCCTTTGAGCATAAGAGATTTCTTTTAAAAAAAACATGAAAAATGTTACCAACTCCAGATTTTTGAATGGTACAGTATACTTTTGAATTTACAGTATACTTCATTATACTAGGGAGAAATTCACTACGTGGACATTGTTTTGACATCTATTTACATATTAACAGCTTTTTTGTCACTTGTTTTTGTGGGCCAGGACTTGATTTTATCTATCAGAAATTAATTGTATATTAAAGTGGCCATTGCATACCATATTTGTGACATTATTCAAAAATGTGATGAAGCAATTTAAATTTATTTGAATATGAAAGAGTTCTTGAAATGAGCTCTATGCATAAACATGTACAAAGTACATACATGGGATACATTTTAATGCCGTGTTTGCTTTTATTATGTTCCCTGCAGAAAAGACAGTTGGCCTCCCAGAGTCTTGCTTTCAACATCAAGGACAAAGTCTTTTGTGAACTGTTTCCAGATGTTGTTGAAGTAAGTACCGTGCCAGACTTCCTCACAGATGTATGCGCGAGCAGTAAACACATTCTTATAACAAATATATTAACACTTGATCCCTTTCACCCCCCTTTAAACAGGAAATCAAGCAGAAGCAGCGTATGCAGGAGGAGCTCAGGTCCCGCTCACAGGCGCTGCCCCTCCCCGACGTGGTGCCGGATGGCGAAGCCCACCACGCGCAAAACGGGCACCTTCCCCTGAACGGGCATCTGCCCCCCGGCGCGGCCCACCCGCCCGACCTCCAGCAGGTCAACCGTAACCATGGACTCCTGGGTGGAGCACTTGCTAATTTGTTCGTCATCGTAGGTTTCGCTGCTTTCGCCTACACGGTCAAGTACGTTCTGCGGAGCATCGCGCAGGAATGAATCGCCCAATGAGAAACGCCGACGTGAGGGACGAAAGGCTGGTGCTGTTCTCACGACCAAAATAGGTAGCGAGAAATCAAAAGGGTTTTCTCACAACCAAATAAAATGAAGCAGTGTCCCGTTAATGAAATTGAGAGCTTGGTGATTTCCTCCATAGTGGCGACAACCAGATCTTGTGTGCAACGGCCCGTAAAGGGCAAGGTCACGTGAAATGATGGCTTTATTAACATGTAAGGACATTTAAAAAAAAAAAAGCAAATTTTCTACCTTACCCAATTCCCTGAAGAAGCCAACTTCATATGACCGTGAAATTAATCCAAGTGGACTTTTTTAGAGCCTGAGTCAGCATTTGTTGTTGTTCACGTTTCTCATTGATCTGTAAGATTTTAGAATCTGTGCATATAGGACGCTGAGTTTTTAAGATTAAAAGAGAAAAAAGTCCAATCATTCCTTAAAAACAACAACAAAATAAAATACATTTCTGAAGTGTCGCACCAATTATTGCTGTGACGAAAATCACTGACTATTTTATTTGATGGAAATGGCTCAACTCTGTAAACATGCTTTACCAATGGAAATTTGTTTTTAAATGCATTTGTGCTCGCTTGCGCTACGCCAACCGTAACAACCAGTTAGGCCAGGAAAGAAGAGATTTAAAATGAATTATTTGTCTTTTGTTTGTCTGTGATTCAGCGCTCCAAGTGTACATTAACTTTCTTTCAGAGGGGGTCACTGTCGGCCAAAAGAAAAGCATATGAACTCTTTTTTTTTTTTTTTTCTTCTTTTTCTTTTCAGGCCATGTAACACTATAAATTGTTTTTGTGCAATATATAGTATTGTCAGCACTACTTGGCTTTCATGATACACCGCACTTCTTTTCTTTTCAAAGGGTTGTGATTTATGCAATAATTCTTAAGAAATTGAAATATCAATTACATTTTTGTTATAAACATAGGCAGGTGAATATGCATTAAATTCTTACCTTTCCTGTTGTACTGTAAGATCTTTGGTTGTGTTCATTAGGACAAGTGCTTTGAGTTGCACAAATAATTCACAACAAAACTTGCAAGTCGAAGTCCAGTTTGCTGAGGCCTACATGCACCGCAAAACATCTCTTTCTGGGTCAGAATGGTCGTATCGCTGCTCATTCGGACTGGGAGGGAATTAATGCTGTCTTTGTACCAGTATGTTCTGGTCTCCCAGATTCAAGTGTTCTGATGTCCCGAATACTAGCAGTAATACTTTTTTTCAGCACCTCCATGAACAATGTTGATCGATATCCTTTCCTTTAGAGGGGTGTGTAATCAGAGATAGTCATGTTGTGTTTACATTTTGAATAAATAATATTCTGTTAAAGAAAGCAGTCCTTCGTGTGTGATTCAAATCCAGGTCTTGTCATTTGACAGAAGACAGTGATGCGATGTCAGCTGTAAACAAATTCAGTGAAAATACCCTTTCAGGCAAAACACTTCTTAACCTCATACACATTATACATGTCATCCACAGCCACTAAGATGAAATTGCATTTGAACAGTCCCAAGTCCCTTAAAATGTAAAAAAAAGTTCATAAAAATTCCCTAAAACTTGTAGGCACATGCATACACATGCAAATACTAATTATCAATATTCAGAATTATTGCTGACATCACTTGTGGATGTATATATATATGAAAATTGAACGAAAAAGCACTATAATGTATCTAATTTTATATGTACACCATGGTTATACCACTACTTTTTTGAAGAACCTTACCAACACAAAATGCGGAAAACCGTAACTGCCGCAGCTACAAGACTAGATTTATACATCACGTGACACGCCTCCGGCCAATCAGCGCTCGATCTCACACCCCGGAAATGGAGTCTGTTTAATGTCCTACATTCATCTCCAGGTCTCAGTCATAATTCTGTGCGCTGCCCTTGCAGAATATTAATGTGTAACGATGTTGTTGACTGTGCGTTGGGCTGTGTCTAACATTATTAGACACCCGGAATCTCCTCGGCTCGAATAAAGAGACGTTTTTATGGAGGGACATTTCTATAAAAAAGAGAAAACAATGAGGCCTAATAGGAAAAATTAGGAAAAAGTGTCAAGCTGAGGAATTCAACACACAGCAGGTGAGCTGCAAAGATGTTACACTGCACGATGACAGTTGATGTGAAGTTTTATGAAGCGTGTTGCATGCATACAGCACGTCAGGTTGTGTTTCCGCAGCCAGCGGAATGTTTGACACGACAGTCACGGTGTGTGTTGGCTGGTAATGTTAGTACATGTTAGTGCATGTTTGACTGTCACCATGAAAGTTGTATAGTTTGTTTGTGAAACATTTGTCGCTGTCACACCTCTTTTTTATCACACAGTAGCAACTATTGCCATGACAACCCCTCCCAATTAACTGGCTACAGCCATTTCTATAGCAACCACCCTGGATCACCTAGCTAGAGCGGTTGCTATGGCAACGTACGTTTGATTTGTTCTTGGCTTTGTCTGGATCGGTTCAGGTTTTCAAAAATTCATTAAAATTACAAATCACTTGAATGCATATCTTTAATGATGAACTTGTTTTCATTTCTGAATTAGAAGTAATTCTGATATTTTTTGTGGGGCTAAAAGTGAAAAAATCTTTTAAACTAATTCTAATGTAACTGAAAAATGTAGTTGAAAACTTGAAATTCTTGGAAAAAAATTATAGACATTATTATTTGTTATGTCTTTAATAAGCAGTGTAGTTATGTTTTAAAATATTAATATAAAAAACTTTTAACACTAATGTTACTTATAACTTAATAATATTTGACTAATATTTTGAACCTATAACCAACCTATCAATGAAAAACCTAAATTTAATGTTTTTTTTTTTATTCAAGTCAAATGAAGTTAACCTAAAGAAAACTTCTGATATTTGCATAACTGCATATTAAAAAAAAGTAAAATAATGATTAAGTTGTATGGGGAGATTATTTTATGAAATTAGTTATTTAAAAACATTAAAATGTATTGAGTGTAACATAAACATAAAAATGACATGAGTGTATCTCTTCTGTGATAGACATTTTTTAATTTCTGAATTAAAAGTCATTTTGATATTTTTAGGAACTAAAAGTGAATATATAGGGTCTAGGGTAATGTGTGTGTGTGTGTGTGTGTGTGTGTGTATTAGGGCTGCACAATTAATCAAATTACAATTACAGATGCCACGATTACATAATTGTTCAAAGTCCACTTATGTTTTTTGCTTGTTTATTTTCATATAAAAAATATGGCATGCAGTTGCTTCAAACAATGGTATAAACATCATTCAGTGTAAATAATGATATTCGTAATTAATAATCGCTATTAAAATTTCAAGGTAACAATCGACATTTATGATTTTTGTCATTATCGTGCAGCCCTAATATGTATG